CTGGACAGCCGTTTGTCTGAAATGATATAGGTCTCCTGCTGGAGCAGGGGGTTGGTCTAGAAGGCCTCCAAGTTCCCTTCCAACTTGATTCTGATCGATTGAGATGCTCCAGAAGTCCCCTGCTTGCAGAATTCTGGGAGTTCAAATCCATACGTCGTAAAGGGGGCCATTGCTGCTCGCTCCTGGCCTGGGCCCTGCCTTCTGAATGAAGGCAAAACATGCTAACAAGCTGGAAGGAACCCAAAATTCAGGTCTGTCCGAGACAGGATGAATAAGAGCTGGGTTCGCTTTTCAACAGGCACGGCTGAAACGAAGTTAAGAGCCCGACTGGCTGGCTGTTCATTTCCTGCCTCATTGCAAGTAATTATTTTTACTGGCTTAGAAAGCTGGTGGAGCAACAGGGGGAGAAAAACTGGCAGTTGCTTCCTTCGCCGTCTTCCTCCCACCACTGCTATCTGGTTGATTTCCCAAAGGAAGCCCAAAAGTGATGAATGCAGAGAACTGACAGAGAAACATCATCATCGCACATTACGTATGGGGGGTGATGGGAGCCAGATTTCCCTCGTGTTTTGGAGAAAGGAGCAGCGGAGATAACACCCTGGCTTGCAAATTTTCCCAGATTTGAAGGCGTTGCTGTCAAACATCCAGGAATCGGGGTGGTGGTGGGGGGGTGTTAAGGGCTCCCCCCCACCAAGAAAAGGAGCGAGGCAACAGTTAGCCGACATTAAAGGTTTGCATTTACCAGGAGTTTCTGATCAAGAATCGAGAAGGGGAGAAACACACAGCCTGCAGCTACCAAAATGCACAACAGAACGGGAAGCATCTCGTCTGTTCCTAGAATATGCTGGGGTGAGGGGCCCGACAGACCCCCCCCCTCAGTGCTGGGGGGGTCCTTGCACTGTGAAGGGGTGGCGGCCATCAGCACAGAGAGCCTCCTGCAGAGGTGGCCGTTTCAAGCTGTGCCAGCAACCACACCTGGCTATCCACCTGGCTACTGTCACTCAGGCGCCGGGAACAAAGTGCTGCTCGTTTTCAAGGGCTAAAGTGGGAGCATGGAGGCTGCGGCTTTGTCTAAAATCGAATCTGCCTGAAGCGAAATGGATCTCCAGCTGCCCCGGCGTGCGAGATCCCTCGCCCCGGCATGCGAGATCCCTCGCCCCGGCATGCGAGATCCCTCGCAGGTCTTTGGAAACGTGTCTTTCCGCGACAATCTTTAAGTTTCTGATCAAGAGGCAAGGAATTCGTTTCGAGGCAGAGCCGAACGATGTGGTGTGCTTTTGAGGAATGCACTTTGAGACCGGGGTGGGAGCGTATATGGTCTCTGTTGGGAATAAGATTCCAGGATAACGGAGTTGGAGGGGACCTGGAGGTCTTCTACTCCAACCTCCTTCCCAAGCAGCTGACCCTGGCCTACACCATTCTGGACTAATGGCAGTCCAACCTCTTCAAAACCTCCAATGGTTA